TGAATACTTTCCGTACCCACTGTATATGCCAGAATGTAAAATTTGTTATTTAATGCATTTGAATATGGTTTAATTTTCATCCTTTACAAATTATCGAAAAATGTGTGCATATTTTCTATTACAAGTGCACTGTGCTCACATTTACTTGTACATTAAATTACAAAAAAAGAAATTACATATCAGCTTGCGCCTTATATTGTGATCTCGAATTGCAAAAAAATATTTTTGTACATGCATTTTGGAGGCGTTATTAAATATAATGCATATATACATTCATGCACAGTTTTGCAGCTTTAATCACCTTTTTGGTAATTTCACGACTTAACGGATGACAGAACTATGACGTTGTATGCTCATAGTTTCTTGGGTGCTTAATTTATGATGAAGTGATAAAGAGCGTGCGCCGCATATTCACGTACAGTTGAAGAGTGTGTGCCTTGAGCACAGTAAAACGGCTGACAGGACAGGAACGTTTGTTTTTCTAAGTTTTACTGACANAAAAAAAAGAGACAAAAACTGCAGCTGTGAGTAGGGTAGCCAAAGGGGTGGCCACCACCTAGCTCCGCCCCTGCATGAAAGAGAGCAATGTGAAAATTCTTCAAAACTTCTCCTTTAGTGTTCCATGGAAAAAGGAGAGTAAAACAGTTCGGGAACAACAAGAAAATGAATAAATGCTAAAAAAAAAAATCTAAATTTTTTGGTGAACTATCCCTATGTAAGAGGTGTCTGCAAGCTTCATTAACAGCATGTTGTTAAAATAGACATCATAAGAGCTCTCATGAGAGTTAAGCCTAAATAAGAGACCTCCAGGCATGTTGCCCAGTTCATTGTGAAACGCTCAAACTGACGTGCATCTGAACGAGTGGCAGCCATTCAGTGACAACACAGGAAACATGTTTTCATAATAGCTTCGGCTTCATTATAGTCACACAGTATTTATATTTGAACCCCAGACGGCCAGTGTGAGTGACAGAGGTTAGCAGAAGTGTGGAAGTCTCGACAGGGTTGAACAAAGGAATGAGAGAGCTGGAAGAAGGGATAGAAATCTGATACTGCTGTGAAATTCTGCAGACGACAGCAAAGCCTGCTCTCTCTCTCTCTTTTTCCATCTCAGTCTTTGCCCATTCCTCTCTCTCAGACTTTCTACCTCATCTTTCTCCACCAGGAACGTTTGTTTTTCTAAGTTTTACTGACATATAGCCTAACAACTTCTCATCAGACTGTTCACTGTTGTTCTACATTTAGCACCTGTGCCTTTTCCACACTTGTCTGACTTGCGCCTGGCGCTGAGGCAAAGTTGAAATGCGTGTTTGAAAAGTCTCCTGTTTGTTGTGGTTGTAAAGAGATACGGCGGTTCCGCATCTTTATAAACACATTTCTTGTCAAGAAAAAAAAAGAGACAAAAACTGCAGCTGTGAGTAGGGTAGCCAAAGGGGTGGCCACCACCTAGCTCCGCCCCTGCATGAAAGAGAGCAATGTGAAAATTCTTCAAAACTTCTCCTTTAGTGTTCCATGGAAAAAGGAGAGTAAAACAGTTCGGGAACAACAAGAAAATGAATAAATGCTAAAAAAAAAAATCTAAATTTTTTGGTGAACTATCCCTATGTAAGAGGTGTCTGCAAGCTTCATTAACAGCATGTTGTTAAAATAGACATCATAAGAGCTCTCATGAGAGTTAAGCCTAAATAAGAGACCTCCAGGCATGTTGCCCAGTTCATTGTGAAACGCTCAAACTGACGTGCATCTGAACGAGTGGCAGCCATTCAGTGACAACACAGGAAACATGTTTTCATAATAGCTTCGGCTTCATTATAGTCACACAGTATTTATATTTGAACCCCAGACGGCCAGTGTGAGTGACAGAGGTTAGCAGAAGTGTGGAAGTCTCGACAGGGTTGAACAAAGGAATGAGAGAGCTGGAAGAAGGGATAGAAATCTGATACTGCTGTGAAATTCTGCAGACGACAGCAAAGCCTGCTCTCTCTCTCTCTTTTTCCATCTCAGTCTTTGCCCATTCCTCTCTCGCAGACTTTCTACCTCATCTTTCTCCACCCAGCCCTGCCTCTCTCTTGTTACCCTCTCACCCCTCTCTCTCTCTTTGCCCTCGGTCTACACACTTTTCCCCCCTCGTTTCTTCTTTGTCTCGCAACTTTTCCGACTTCTCTCTCTCTCTCTCTCTCTCTCTGCAGATGGACCTGAATGCAAAACATTGTCTGTTGAGTGCATCTGGGGGTATCAGCAGTCTGGAGAGGAGCTAATCAGTCTGCTGCTCTGCAGAGTCATTCCTTCTCCTGAATCTCAACGCTTCGCTCACTTATTTCAACTTACATCAAAACAACATCAAGGTCAATATCATTTGGTCTAGGAATGCTGTATATTAAACAATCTGCCCATCTACGTAATGTTGTATGCTGCTTCAGAAGTGCTTTTCATAGACAAAATATATTGAGAAATGTTTGCATAATTACATATACTACACATACTCTAGTAAGTTCTTATGCGGTAATGTAAAATAAAACGACCATAATTCTGACATTTTGCTTTGCTTATGCCTTGTAATACTGTGTATGATAAATACTGCATCAAATTCAACAGTTGTACGGTCTACATTTTATTCAAATTAAATTTCTAAGCAGTCTCTCTAATTAAGTGTTTGATTTAATACTACTACTGATAATAATAAATATTATTATTATAGTTTTTATTTCCTAAACACCTTTCCTACAGCCCAAGGTCACTTTGCAAAATAGAATATCAAATTGTAAAAATCAAATCAGCAAAAGTGATTAATAGATCCCAGTGTTTATTTTGAATTACTGAACTGAAATATGATCATCGGGCACAACACTGTGCATAGTTTGAAAGCAATTCTTCAGCCTGTTTCAAATGTAGGCTAAATAATTTAGAGATTATGAAATAATCTCACTCTTTCTCCCTTTGTCCCTCAGAATGAACCCCATTTTAGGATTAACCAGATTACTGTCATCTAAAGCTGATTAAATCAGCATTTTAACCTGCATTTTAGCCAAATGAGTACGGCGGTCCAACTGTATTTGAGCCATCAGAAAGAAAAGCTAACTGAGCAGTGGTCAGTCAAAACACGCATGGCTCCCCCTCCTGGCTGTAGAGAGAAGTACACCAAGCTCAGCATAGCAAGACCTTATACAACAATTCAAAATCAAATAAACTCACTATCACTCTCCATAACTCACTATCTGCTCTTTATAATATGATACTCTCTAAGGTACTAGTGGTGACTTTAAACCTTATGAGCTGCCAACCTTAGACAACTTTTTTTGGCAGCTCACCAGGTGTTGCGATGTGGCCACTCATTCTCCAGTGAGAAGTCTCACCTTTTCATGCTGTTCTATGAGAATCTCCACCACAATGTTCTGGAACTTGAGGTCCATAATGGCTGCCACCGTTTCTTCCTGCGGTCTCATGAGCGTGGGGCCAAACACTACCCCAAGGTTCGCCACTGTCATCAGGTTCTGTTTGCTGTTGGCAGCAACACTACACACATAGAAAAAAAAGAAGTTATGATTAAATTACTTGAAAGATTGAAAAAAGATTGACATTATTGCACATTATTTGTTTTGATGAAAGATAGCAAGAACGGTTTGCAATGTTTTTGCATTTGATTGTGAAACTATATGCAGTTAACCTTCTATTAGAAAGTGTCTTCAGTCTCATTGCAATATATCTTAGAAGAACTTGAAAACACGATAGAAAAAAAAGAAGTTATGATTAAATTACTTGAAAGATTGAAAAAAGATTGACATTATTGCACATTATTTGTTTTGATGAAAGATAGCAAGAACGGTTTGCAATGTTTTTGCATTTGATTGTGAAACTATATGCAGTTAACCTTCTATTAGAAAGTGTCTTCAGTCTCACTGCAATATATCTCAGAAGAACTTGAAAACACGATATTTTGAATTAATTAATTAGTAACTTAAAGATCACAGGGGTGAACATTAAAACCTGCATGCTGAATGACTCTTTTGGTTATCAGCCTCACAGATGGAGAATTTTTAGTCAAACTTCATTACGCATATTGTCCATGCAGTTCAATTTGTAAAATATCTAAACAGAGTAAACTTTACCATCCTCTGAACAAATGGGTTCATTTGGATCATTTGACTAGGAATCTGGTGTGTTTTTCCCTTTAGTTTGGTTCATGTAGGCATATACTGTATGAATTACATTAGCTCAAACAAAGACATTTTGAGAGAGTGCCCTTCGATAAAATAAATACAATACAGTTTAAAAGTCAGTACGCTTTTTTTTTTTTTTTAAAGAAAACAATACTTTTATTCAGCAAGGACACACGACACTGATCAAAAGTTACATTAAAGACATTTAGAATGTAGCAAAAGATGTATACTTCAAAGGATACTGAAAAAAATGCATCACAGTTTCCACAAAAATATTAAGCAGCACAACTGTTTTCAACAGCAAATTAGCATAAGAAGGATCACGTGACACTGAAAACTGGAGTAATGGGTGCTGAAAAATACATTATTATTAAATGTATTAAAGGGGTCATATGATGCTTTTTAAAAGATCATTATTTTGTGTATTTGGTGTAACAGAATATGTTGACATGCTTTAATGTAAAAAAAAACACATTATTTTTCAAATACTGTACATTATTGTAGGTCCTCTATGCCCCGCCTCTCTCAAATGCTTCATTTTCTACAAAGTCCCTCCTTCAGACAAGCGCAGTCTGCTCTGATTGGCCAGCTGACCCAGTGCATTGTGATTGGCCGAACACCGCAAGCACTCGTCGGAATGTAACGACCCTTACCATAATCGCACATACCAGCTTCATCACTGTCATGCGACTCTGTTCTCCTTTCGGGCTTGAACTGATGGTAAAACTAATGACATTATTTACTGTCTTTACATTTATTTTGAAAGATGAAGAAGCTGGTATGTGTTTGCAGTACACAAGCCACGGTTAAGACAGCTGACTCCACTGTGATGTGATGTGATGTGACCCTGTCTCTCTCTCTCTCTCGCTCTCTCTCTCACACACACACACACGATGTGCAAAACTCCGTATTTGAACAGTCAGTAGTAAATACTTAAACTAATAACAAAACATACTTCGTGGGGGGAAGTCGTGGCCTAATGGTTAGAGAGTCGGACTCATAACCCAAAGGTTGTGGGTTTGAGTCTCGTACCGGCAGGGATTGTAGGTGGGGGGAGTGAATGTACAGCACTCTCTCCAACCTTCAATACCACGACTGAGGTGCCCTTGAGCAAGGCACCGAACCCCCAATTGCTCCCCGGGCGCCGCAGTGTAAATGGCTGCCCACTGCTCCGGGTGTGTGTTCACGGTTTGTGTGTGTTCACTGCTGTGTGTGTGCACTTTGGATGGGTAAATGCAGAGCACTAATTCCGAGTATGGGTCACCATACTTGGCCACATGTCACGTCACATATTCACATATATTCGTCACATATTCACATATTCCAGTAGCTGATTCAGAAGCGCCAGATTGTCATAGCAAAGTCAGAATGACCTCCTCTCCTAGGTTCATGAAACGGTCGTCCATAAAATGCATTGCTGTTCTGTTGTAAGTAATCTTAAAGATTCCTAAATGCATCTACTTCTGGAAGGCCAAATAAAGTGCTTTTGTTTTCGCCTAGAAACACACAGCGTCTCCCTGACATGCTGCTTCAACACTAACTGCGGTTACTGAAACCACGCCTTCTTTCTTTGCGTGAACATTTGGCCGGCATTATGCAAATATTTCCACATAGTGACATAGATATGTGGGGGTGTGTTAGAACGAGGCGTTTTAGGGGGGCATGGCAGAGTCTTAACTTTGATAAAGAATATCTCTTTGGTTTTGAGACTTTAGTCTTTGCAACTTCAGGGATCTTATCTATGCACACTCAGCTTGTAACACTCCAAAGAGAAAGGAAAACTTGAAATCGCATCATATGACCCCTTTAAAATAGAAGACAATTACATAAAATTTTTATATTTCACAATATCAGTGTTTGTTTGTTTTTTTACTGTATTTTTGGTCAAATAAATGCAGCCTTGAAGAACCTCAAACCGACCTCAAACGTTTGAACAGTACTGTAAACCTGATCTTTGAGCTTTGGGGGAGAAAAATAAAAAATATGTAGACTGTCAGTATGTCACTATATTTCAAAACCAAAATGCGCTTCTTCCGCTGCAAACAGCTATAAATGCCTAATCTGCGAAACAGGTGACACTTCTTTGAAAATTCTGAAATGGGGGGGAAAAAAAAACCTCATTAACATTCTAAGCAATAGGGAGACAATTTGCTATTATGTAACTTTAATAACAAATTTTGGTCTGGACACGTTTGTCCCTGTTTCAGAATAATGCAAACAAACTACAGGTATCAAAATGTCAGTTTACCACTTTCACAGGGTGCACTTTGAAAATAAATACGCCACACAAAGATAACAATTAATCACCTCTCTAATTCCAATTCAGATAAAATGGCAACATTACGCTTTTTCCTCTCCATCTCTGATGGGTCTGCAACTGTGCCAACTCCTAAAGCATTTTGCGAGGGCTGGAGAGGATGGAAGAGGAATTTAGTGGTGGATAACCTGAATTTAATTTCCAATTGCACATTCTTAGCTGCCAGCAAATCCCACTCTGTATTTTGAGGAGACACGTCTGCCCAGTCACTGATTGCTGGAGGTTAGGGAGATTATGTGCTTATCTTCAATTTGCTTACATTCACATTATATAAAATGTGAGGCCTGAGGTAAAGGTAATGATAGTTAACATTATTTGGAAATCTCTAACCCGATCTAATCTCTTACAGAAGCTGCTGCATAACTCTCTCTCTAAGTGGGCAGTTGTTGGTTGGAATGGAGAGGGACAGGACTTGTTTTCTCTAGAAAAAAAGTTGTGATCTAGATAACAGCATGGATCGAATGAAAGTCCATGTGGAGTTTTCTCTTTGCTCAGTCTCTCTTCTCTGCAGAGTGCTGTTTGTCTGTTTGCTCAGTTGCTCAGCAACAGAGGTAGCCTACATATGTTTCTACGGGTGCTGCCTGTAGGAAGGTGTGTTTTTGTGTACAGACGGTAAGAACAGAATGAGGGAGAAAGTTGGAAATAATGATTGAAAATAGTGGCTGACAGCCGAGAGAAGTAAAAAGGTTGGAGAAAGAAAACAGAGAATGTGCACACACACACACACACACACACACACACACACACACACAAAATAATAATAAAAAATTGTGTATACAGACCAGAGAAAAACCAGTTTCCACTCACTTGGCAAGATGCTTGGTAACCAGACTGAGCACTAATCTGTTCCTCTCTGGCAGTTTATGAACCAGACAGTGAATGGCCTGAACTCTAGATTCTGGAGTAGCGCTCTCTGTGTAGACAAAAAAAAATTAAAAAGACAAAAAAGGGGAGGGGGGATTGGTTTAGAAGACGGCATGTAATATGCAGTTTTACAATTTATACCTATTAAACCTACATGTACACGCTTAAATATGTATAATTAGATTTATAGACAAATATATATTGCTCCTACGTATAAATACTTTCAAATAAAAATGTATATTTAAAATACATTTTCATAATAATAATAATTTTATATATATATATATGATTAAATTAGTAGGACCAAATAGTATAAGAAAAGTAGCCAGCAAATGCACAGCATATATGACAACTCCTTAAAAAACGGTTTAAAGAAGCATCCCAAGATACACCTCAAAGTTGGTTCAGGAAATAAGTTCTTTTGGTTTCCACATAATTCCCATACTTCCATTCCTTTCAGTTTTGAAGTTTTTACTATTAAAATGCAAATAATAATTGGCTGGTGTAACCAATCTTTAATACTTCAAATTAAACTTATTTCAGTTACTGTAGTTGCCAAAGTTTTTATCTAATATTTATAATTTATTTAATTTCAGCTTGATTTCAGTTAAGTCATTTTTTTAATGGTTTTAGTTGACAATAACATCACTGGGTCTAACTGTATAGGCCGGTGAGGTGTAGTGACTAAAGCTCAGGGATGGTCAACCCCATGTTGCTCCAGAACCTGAATAAAATAAGTTTCTGTACACGTGCCCCTCATAAAAGCTAAATAACTAATTAGTACAAATTCTGCCTTTGTACATTTAGTGTTATTAGGCTTGCCACTATTGACTTATAGCACCTCCGAGACCTAAGACAACGACACATCTCTGCTGATGTCATTTTCCTATTTTGAAAATCCTTGGCAGAGTCTTAACTTTGATAAAGAATATCTCTTTGGTTTTGAGACTTTAGTCTTTGCAACTTCAGGGATCTTATCTATGCACACTCAGCTTGTAACACTCCAAAGAGAAAGGAAAACTTGAAATCGCATCATATGACCCCTTTAAAATAGAAGACAATTACATAAAATTTTAATATTTCACAATATTAGTGTTTGTTTGTTTTTTTACTGTATTTTTGGTCAAATAAATGCAGCCTTGAAGAACCTCAAACCGACCTCAAACGTTGAACAGTACTGTAAACCTGATCTTTGAGCTTTGGGGGAGAAAAATAAAAAATATGTAGACTGTCAGTATGTCACTATATTTCAAAACCAAAATGCGCTTCTTCCGCTGCAAACAGCTATAAATGCCTAATCTGCGAAACAGGTGACACTTCTTTGAAAATTCTGAAATGGGGGGGAAAAAAAAA